TGTCCCGAGTAATCCCCTGTGCCCAGTTATGGCAGAAGGTCCATTGTTTCTTACCCTACCACAGAAACAAAATAATTAAGCTGTTACTGCCACCACAGCAAGAGCAGAACAAAGGATTGCTCCTTGTCCACTTCAGTGCTGAACCAGGGGGCTCGGTTTAAACAGGCATTGAAGGTGGTTGGAGCTAACCCGCCTGACTTTACGCTGAAGCAGATGGCGAGTGCTCACACAGCCCAGTATCAATATCCGTAACAATCAGATGAGCTGCGGAGCTGTAATCTGTGGCAGATGGAAAATGACAGCACAAAAGGCTTTACTGTGGCCTTCAAAGCCCTCCACAAAGGTAGAAAATAGGAAAGTTTAATTCTTATAGTTTGTCCTTCTCCAGAGCAAAACCAGACATCTGAAACTGTGGAAACAAGAGGAATGCTTCTCCGCTTTCCTACCTCCACAGCAGATTGGTTGATTTTGGTTCCAGAGGATACACTGAGACCTCTCATCAAAACTCAATCTAAAATAAGGTAACTTGCTGTGAAAAACTGAAACAGGATCTTGGTGTGGGAGTCTGCATAGCTCAGTCTGTGTTGAATCTCTGGCACCCTGCACTGATGCTTTGCTGAACTTTTGAAGGAGTCACTGGAGGGAGATCTGAAAAAAAACAGCTCACCCATGCACACAGATTGGAGTGGTTGCTGGCAGATTTGTCAGATTCTTTGTGGATTAGACAGTCACCCTGGAAGCACGATCAGTTGTAAAAAAGGCTGAGGCTTTCTCATGTTTTTTCATGCTCGAGAAAGTATGTGTTTACTATGCTTGAGAATGGATATTTTGGGTCACCTCCCTTAAAGACCCCCAGGTTCAAGAGGACCCCTGACTGCCTGCAGAGTAACAAAGATGCCCAGTGCGAAATGCAGGTAGGCTGTCATCCCTCGACCGAGCAATCAAACTCTGCAGCTAACATCTAGATGCTGCCAGTCTCCCACAGGACCACAGACCTGAAAATACTGACAAGTGAAAGACTGACCAGGGAGCCTGCATACTTTTTTGCCCCATCTGTCAATTACACAGGGCAAGCTACTAACTTAATACACTTCTGGAGTGAGAAAAAAATACATGGTGCTTAGTCTTGCATTGTCGCTGCTAGTTCTTTGTCTTGTGTTGCTTGTAGGAGGGATGCTTCAGCTTTTTATGGGCTTTGACCAACATGCTGGCCACGCTCCTGGCCTCTTTTTGGCTCAGCACAGCCCTGACTTCTCCAAACCCCCCAGCTTCTGTCCTGCTCCTCAGCAACATCAATTCTTGGCTTTAACACCAGTTCTAGCCTTACCTAAACACAGTGAGCTTGTCTCCACATTTGCAAACTTCAATTCCTAAGTAGTCTTATGTGAAAGCTCCCTGATTTGACGTCAAAAGAAACAACTAGACTGCGGAACAGCCCAGGTCAGGTCTGACATGCTCTGCAGTGTCACTGCTGCTTGGCGCTGCTATGCTCTGGAGGATGCCACCTTCATGGCTAATTTGCTGCCTGGTTTGAAAAGACCAGGTCTCCTGCTAAGCACAAGGATGCTGTTGCCTGTGCATCTGGGTCAGAGCAGAACATGAGACATACTGGTGAGCCCCAGCAACACAAGGACAGAACATCAGAGTGTGATAAAATGACAGTCCTGTGAAGAGGAAGAGACATTTACTGGAGAAAAGGCTTTATTAAGGAGGGACACTGTAACATACCATATTGATCTGGTGCTCCAGGTCTCTGGGAGGACTCAGAGATCCAGCACAAATACTTTGCCAAATGACAGAGGTGTTGGGCCTGCCACCTCAGTGAGAGGCTTTTCCTACCTCAAGAGTCTTCCATCAGCAGTGTTTGTCTCTGATGAGGAGGGGCTGAACCCTGCGGGAACAGGCTGAGGGTCAGGTAAGGAGAGAGGCAGAGCACAGATCCTTGTTGCTGAGCAGTGGCAGGCAAGCAACTATTTCAGATGACAAATTGCCCCAGGCTGCAAAACAGCAGGATAGATCTGAATAGAGTTGCTGTCAAAATATCAGCGCTGGATCATGGGTGTGCAGGACTGTGATAGTGCAGAGCCTGGCCCCCAGGATGCAAGGCTGACTACGGCTTCTTCTGTCCCTTCACATTCCGTCTCTCCTCGTCCATGGCAGCTGCTTGTGCCTGCAGCCGACTCTCCAGCAACTGCTCCTGGAGCTCCGGCAGGCTCTGCTGCCTAACGAGGGAAGAAAGGGGTGGTTAAAACAGTCCCTGCCATTCCCCTGGGTGCTCAGACAACCCCAGCTTGGCCCCTCGAGGGTCCCTGGAGCTGACTACAAATTAAGCAGTTCAGACTTCTGGTGTCCAAAAAACCTCAGTGATTCCCCTCACGCCACTCAGCACTCAAACTTACTGCTCTTGAGAGCAATGACTCTGTATTTCTCTTTGCCTGTCTGCCCCTGCAGACACAGGGCTCACTGCAGTTTCATCTGCTGTGCTCCGGCTTGAGCTCTCAGTACCCAGGGAGCAAGATATCCCCGGAGGTGATGTCTCCCCAGTTTTTCTAGTATAAGGCAGACAAGAGTCTCCTCTCCAGCTTTATGAAAAGGCAGAATAGAACTGGTGGCTGCTGGCATAGGGTGAAACTTTTCTGCACTTAACTAGCAAGACAACACTGCAGGATTCACCCTGGAGACAAGGAATTAGGGAAGGCCACCAGGAAACACGTGCTGTAAGGTCACACCTGCACCCACCTGTTCCATTTTACACTGGAGAACTAAGGCACAGGAAAAGAACAGAGTATCATTGACAGAAAGCTGGCATCAGGTTCCCAAAAGAAGCAATTCAAGACAAAGGTCACCCAATAAGAGATGTCACATTGCCATCTAGTGACGGCATGAACTCAATGCATCCGCTCAGCTCTAACTGCAACCTCTCAGCCTGAGGGTGCTGGAGACCTTCTCAAACGGAGAAACATCCAACACAAATCTGCTTAAACATCAAATGAACCCAAGAATGGAAAGCAGGAGCAAGGTACAAAGAGATCCCAGCTCTGCCTGGCTATGGGGCCAAAAATAAGAGGCAGACACCTAAGTGAGGATCATATGCCCTGCCAAACTTGCATCATCTGCGTTTGCACAAAAGCACATGAGAACCAGCAAAACCTTGCTACCTGGAATGACAAGCCAGCCCCAGGAATCCTGATTTACAGCTGTTAAACTGTTCCAAGAAGGGCAGAAGGGAGAGAAGGAAGGGTTCTGGGTGGCTGTCAGGAATCCAGCTACCTGAACATGAACCTTACCCACACACAAATCTGTCACAGCACACAGAAGAACACAGAAGCTTCAGGGTGAGATCGTGCAGGGACCTGAGCAACACGACAGCTTACAGCAATGCAGGTGCACTTACCCATCAGGCAGAAAGAGAACCTTACCTATCACGTAAGAAAATGTTACATCTCTCAATTCATGGCAGGTTCTGGAAGGATTTGAGAGGCAAATCTGGTTCCTTTGGGAAAGCCTCCTTCAGTGGGTAGGAGCTGAAGTCAAACACGAAGATGGTGCTGTGACTGGCTCTGCTCTGTGCCAATGCATCTTCCTGCTGCTGCTGCTCATCTCCTAGACAGAAACAAGAAGAGTGGGCTATTGCAACAGGAGACATCCAACAAGAATGATCAAGGGCCAGTGCACAGCTGAATGCACCCAGTGACCATGTATCTAAGACCACTCCAAGGTGCTACCCACCTTGAAGCAGCGGGCACCAGTTCACACTATCCACTGTGAACACTGGCTGCCAGGGAGATGCTACAGCGTGAGAAGGTGGAGGACTGAAGCAGAAAACAGTCTGTGATGTGGCGGTGTTCAGCCGGGACACTGTGCCATCCCAGGAGAAGACCAGGGCCTGAAACAGCAAGTTGACATTTAGAAATGGATGTAATAGAGGTAAAAAGTATTTCCTGAAAAGGTCAGGGAATGACACTCAGGATTTCATATCCCCAACCATGATGTTTTCTTTGCCTGCCCAGTAGTCACAGGGCCCCAGTGGATCAAGACCAGGCTGTGCACGTAACTTGGACTGGAATTGGTGCAGGCTGGGACTGGGAAGGGGCAGCGGTGCAGGTTAGAACTGAACCAGATCCATCCTTCTGCACTAAAAGACTTTAGTCTTTTTCTCCCCATGCCTGAAAAATTTCTGAGGCCACCTGGAAGGTCTGGCTGGACTTGTGCTTGCAACTTCTCCTCACCATGATGCCCTCTCATATTTGACCCTGATGACCGAAGCTTCGTGCCTGGACCCTCTCACCTTTGCAGATGGACCTGTCCACAGGCAGAGGGTCTCCAGAGCCTCCTACCTCAGTGGTCAATTAGAGAACATGGGTGCAATGGGATATTGAGTAAGATCATAGCAGATAAATCCTTTGAGAATTACGAGCTACATACAGACCTGTAACTGGTGTAATACTCACTGCACTGGGGAACGCCAGGACAGGCACCACGGCGCTGACAGCAAGATTGGGATCTTCAGGCCTGTAAAGCAGACTCAGGCTTATGCCACTGTTTCGTGTACCTGTCACATATTGAGAGGCTGTAATAGTGACAATGGCAGCTTGTGGCACATGGCATAAAGTTCCAGCCGAGCCCCTTCCGTATGGAGACAAAGCCTGACCCTGGGCACACCTGCCTGGGAACTATATTGGCGATACAAATTCCCTGCCTGCCATGGAGGCACAAAACCAAAGCCTTCAGAGCAGCAGCTTCCCCAAAGCTGACCCTTCTCCTCAAACCAAGGTGACAAGTGAACATAAAATTGACAAAAAGATGTAAAGACATGAGGCTGAGGGAGCTGGGTCTCTTTAGCCTGGAAAAGAGGAGACTGAGGGGTGACCTAATCAATGTTTATAAATATGTAAAGGGTGAGTGTCAGGAGGATGGAGCCAGGCTCTTCTCTGTGACATCCAGTGACAGGACAAGGGGCAATGGGTTCAAGCTGGAACATAGGAGGTTCCACTTGAATATGAGGAAAAACTTCTTCACGGTGAGGGTGACAGAGCACTGGGGAACAGGCTGCCCAGAGAGGGTGTGGAGTCTCCTTCTCTGGAGACATTCAAAGCCCGCCTGGATGCGTTCCTGTGTGATCTGATCTAGGTGTTCCTGCTCCGGCAGGGGGATTGGACTAGATGATCTTTCGAGGTCCCTTCCAATCTCTAACATTCTGTGATTCTGTGATTATTCTGACTTGTAGGGGGAAGTTATTCTGGCAAGGGCAGAAGAGAGAAGAAAAATTTCCCCTGGGTACCTGGTAATTACCCAGCTGGTTGAATGTCAGCCCTGGGGCAGTGCTACAAGCACATGTGTTCTAGTGCATAGAGGAATCCAGAAACACCCCTAATTCTGACATAACCATTGGATTTTAGTACTGGAACTGACTCTGAGCAAAACCACACTTGCTGCTGGCAGCAGCATGGCAGAGCTCACTGGTAAAAGCAGTAGGAAGTAGCACAGAAATCTGGGGCTTTCTGCTGGACCTGAGCTCTATACCACACAGCTCCTTCAGCTGGAGTGAGGTCTATCAGAGTCTACCTCACCTCTCTGCCAGGAGCGTGATGCTGGACTTCCTGCCCCTGGGTGCTTTCACCAGATAGAAGGAGCTGTCTGTACACAGCACTAGAAGCTGCACGATGGGACAGGCAGGATCTGTACCAGGGCAAGGTGTCTCATCCCTGGGAGCTGCAGAACTCCGCAGGAAGTGGATACTACGGATGAGACATTCTTCTAGAATGGCAGTCACACACAGTGGGTACCCTGGGGGCAGGGGGGAAAAAAAAAACAGTTTAGGAATAAAAAGGAATAGGCAATTTATCCAAGGAAACCTTAGCTTAGACTGATAATTGGCTGAAGAAGATTCTTCTGCCAGGAGAATCCCTGCATCATGACAGGATGACACCAGCACTGATGGCAGCCTGGACTGTGATGCCACAACAGTCTCAAAGAAGATCTGAGGGTGCAGTGGCAAAGCAGTGACTGTGTCGCAGCCTCAGGGCAAAACAGGCATCAGTCCTCGTTGCAGCAGTTTCCAGCACCTGCATTGCTGTGGATGGGAATGGTTCTGTCAGGGCTGAGGCAGTCATGCTGCCTTGGCAACTTCTGGCCAAGCAACCCATGAAGAAGTGAGTCACAAATATTTTCAAATTTGCTTGTAAACTCACTGCCAGTGCCCTGTTCACACCAAACCAGAGCCTCAAACTCCTTGGGAAGGGAGCAATTTATCCACTGGGATCCCAATACACAGTCCCAAAAGGCAAGCTCACCTAGGTGTTTATCCCAAATAGTTACTGTCGCATCTTCACATGCCAGTGCCAGGTACCTGGAGCAGGAGCTGACAGTCAAGCATGCAATTGGAGCTGCACATGGCCACACAACTTCAGGTTTGGGATCAGAATCTAAATAGAAGGATATGAAGAGAGATCACTGCAAGAAGGTGCAGAGCATCTTCTCTCATGGTACCAGCTTCCAGCTTCCCAATAAAACACACCATTCTGGAGTCTCCTGCCAGAGCGGCTTCAACAAAAATACTGCCAGCCTGTGCAATGTGGAGCCCTGCAATCCAGGCTAACCTGCAAGATATGGGGCAGCTCTCTTCCCCATTCCTCATTTCCCTGAAACATGAAGATGTGGCTGAACGACAGCCACAGAACACTCCCACTCCCCACAGAGCACTCTGCTAGAGAAAGCAAGACTTTCTTACCCACTTTATCCTTGAGTGGATGGTTAAGTAAGTACAAGCAGAGATTGTGGCTTCCATCCCAGTGCACACTGATGCCAGCTGGAACATCTGGCACAGAGAAGGGGACAACAAAAGAGAGAAGAATGAGGACGAAGAAAGGAGCAATCCACGACACCTAAACACCATTAGAAAGCTCTCATTAGAGCTCTCACAGTTTCCCTGATGGGGCTTATAGAAGCAACGCTCACACAGAAACTAAACTACAACAAACTTTTCCCTTGTCTGTTATTTTTATCTTGCCTATGTGCCCCCTCAATTTTTTTTGGTGTTTTGGGGGGGGTTGTGGTTTTGACTCCATGCCAGTGACTCACTCACAAGTCTTAGAGCTGACATTTTTATCCAAGGGCTTATGTCCTTGAAGATGGAATTTATATAGTGAACCCAAGTCAGAGCCATTGAGCTCTAACTGGAGCTCAATGTGATGCAACGATGTGCTTCATAGGTTAACAGCTTTTTGCCTATTTGGATTACCTGGCTGTACTTTCATTTCCGGTCCCACCTGTAGGATCCAGCTAGGCAGGAGAAAATCAAAAGTGGCACGTCTGAAGAAAAAAAAAAAAAAAAAAAAAAAAAAAAAGAAGTAAGAGATATATATAAAAGAAAGGCATTGATAAGTACACTTGACAAGACCTGGAACGGCTCTTCATCCCTGCTCAGGAGCCTTGGGATGAAGGAGGCAAAGCTACAGCGGAGACGTCCATCTACGCTTGTAAAGTACCCTGTGTTGGAGTCCCATGGACTGAAATCCTGGTTGATACTCGCGCTCACCTGGGGATCTCCTCCTTGCTCTCTGTCTTATCCTCCGCCTCCAGATATTTCCAATAAGTGCTGCGGAAGATTGCTTCCTGCAGCTCCCACTGGAAGTCCTTGATTAGGTGATTGTACCCCAAGCCAAGAGTGCTGCCATCATCCACTTCCTTTAAGGCATCCAAAGGGCTTTTAAAACTACTGCCTGGATTGGGAACACAAAGGGTAAAGGCACAGCCCTGGAGGAGCAGACACCATGGAGTGCTCATGGGCACTTTGACCATCCCGCCTTCAGGGTGGTATTGTCTTCAAGAGGGACACACTGCATCTTCCTGATAGAAGTATTTCAACATTAAGATCATGTTCTGTGGGACTTTCCAACTTGCTAGTGCACTTCCCAGCATTTGAAGGCAGGGATTAGGGCAAGTCATGTGAGGATCCCCAGGATCTAGGAAACCTTTTTCTAGGATCTAGGAAAGTGCCTCCCTCTCTGGTGACAATGAAGCCAAGGGTGTATGACACCCAATTCAAGACACACCAAAGTATTTTTTGCTAACAAAGGTGCCACATGAGATGGTCAGGTCAGAAGCAACCCCCACTACAGGATTACATGTAGCTACAAAAACAGGTCAGGAAGGGACCAGGGAGCACATTACTGAAACTTTCTGACCTGTTCTGGAGTCATAAGAGCCATGATTCCTTTGCCACCTGATGGAGGCTGCAGGTTGCAAGCACAGAATCAGCCCTAACCTGTAACAGGTTTGGGTGGCTTCACCTTCAGCAGCAGCCCTGGGAGACTCAGCTTGGCATCAGCTTTGTTTGCAGACACAGGAGACTCCTGCAACAGAAAAATGTCAGCCTGCAAACTGTGTTGTGTCCTACGCTGCCAAGTTTTCACTTGCTCATGGGCATCAAATGCTTCCTAAATTGCATGCAAAGTTGGGCTGACACTGCCTAGGAGACACTGGCTTTAGGCTCATTCTTCAGTTCAAAACACAGAAGCTTGAGGGAGGTCACTACTTTCTCAACAGCATTACATAGGATCTCCTGCCCGGATACCTGCTGTCTTTGTGCCCTAAATAACCTCCACTTCTGATCTTACAAATCTCTCAAATTATTCTTGTTGCAGCACAGGCCTGGGTGGGGCACAGCAAGGCTCAGGAAAAAAAAACAAAAACAAACAAAAAAAAAAAAAAACAGGACTAAAGGTTGCAGAGTGCTGCTGAATACAAGAATCAGATTTTGCTTCAGATTGCCCAGGACTGGAGGAGGTCACATATGTGCTTGGCCAGGAATGGAAAATCCTAACAGGGGACTCGCACTGGTGTGTGCCCACCACCACCCCACCCACACACATTGACACTTGGCTAAACAGAAAAGATCTGGCTAAATAATCAACCATCATCAGGAAGAGACAGGAACTTGGGTGGTTTACATGGAATCTGCAAAGAGGGAATGCCTGGGTGTTTGCTTTTGGCTTGGCCAAGTTCAGGGGGATGTTTGCCCTGCAGACAGGGCTGAGAAGCAGCCAGGAAAGTCTCTGCTGAAGGAGGAGGGAAGAGTTATGGGGCAGATACCACAGAGGGTTAGCTGGAGGTGCCAGGCAGAAGGTGCCTGTGTGTTGAGAGGTGAAATCTAGCAGGGTGAAAGCGATGCAGGAGAGGCTTAAGCACTGACTCAGCACTGAAAATTCCCCGTAACAGCTCAGGACATTCATTGAGGCCAGTTACCATCTCTGCAGAACCGTCTCCATGCAGCTCCAGACTTTTCTGCCAAAGAACCAGAGGTGACAGTGGTTAATGCACATAGGCAGAGACCTGGGCTCCCTCTAGCCTAAAACACGAACCCTGGTTCAGGACCAGACTCCCAAGTGGAGGTGTCAGGCCCGGTTCCCACTCCTCCACCTTCCCCCGGTAACAGAAGGGAGAAGCCCCACAGGAACACCCTTCCATTGGGCCTCCTCAGATGGGGCAATACTGCTGGCACAGGAGCTGGCAGTTTCAGGG